TGCTCAAAGCTCGACATAGTGACAAGTGACCTGCTGATGAAAATTGTGGATGGACGAGAAGTGGTTGTCGTGCCAGCAGAGCTACCGACGAGCACATGAAAGTGGACATTTTGGTGTGAAGAAACTGGAAGACATGATCAAGCGCGACTACTTCATTCCGCAGCTCAGTGCTAAAACCAAAAGGTAAATCGAGTGCTGCCTTAAGTGCATCCTCAATTGCAGAGCGAAAACGAGGAAAAAGCGGAAGTACTTTTGCCATCGATCCTAAAAGGCGATGTTCTATTCGATACTTACCATGTTGATCATGTGGGACCCATGGATGCGACGGAGAAACTCGTATTCACGAAGTACGTGTGGATTTATCCTACTAAGACAACGAATGCGACTGAGGTGATCCAACGGCTACGACAACAGAGTGAATTGTTCGGAAACCCTAGGCGTATCATTAGCGATAAAGGATCAACCTTTACATCCCATTTCAAGGAGTATTGTGCCGAGCAGGATGTGGAGCACATCGAGATTACCACAGGTGTTTCGAGAGAAAATCACCAAGTCGAACGCATAAATCAGGTGATCCTGGCCATGTTGACGAAACTGAGTATAGATGAGCGTTGGATTAACGCCAGTTCCAAAGTACAAGTGTAACACCGCACAATGGGAAATTTAAAAAAGGCATTTAAATCAACGTCTCAAAATGACGCTAGATATGATGGTATATTTATGCATCAGAAGTTAGTTTTTTTTTAATTAGAAATCGAATCCCTAGGAGATTGTGCACGGCACGAATCATTTTCTGGTAGTTTAGGGCAAAAATAAGGAATTTTGCCCTATTCTTTAGTGCCTAAAACTGTGTTATAGTCAATTACTAAGTGAAATGTCACTCGATTTTGATAAAACCAGTTTACTTTCAAAGCTAAGATTGTCTTTCATAATCGTATTCATCAAATTGAAAATAGGACTTAGAATTCTTAAGGTTCAGCAGTACCATTTTCAGTCAAAACAATTAAAATAGGGGAAATGTTGGCTTCGGCAATACCTCAACCTATTATCGTCAGGGGGTAAACGAAGTCCTAGAGCACTCAAACTTGGCCAATAGATGTTCTGAAACACAATGTATCCACATGCAAAAATTGAGCTCTCAAGGACGTTGTTTACAACCCTGGCGATAATATAATATAGTATTGCCGAAGCCGTCATTTACCCTATGTGAATATGGGTATTTTTTTGGGTATGTGAAAATGGGGTTTTCCGTTCAGAAATGGTATGATTTACTGAGTTTGCATTTAAAAACCCAACCAAATATTTCCTCAGGGAATATTCAGCGAAGTTCCGAGTACTTCGAGTACGATCAGATTACTTCAGAACTATCCCATTAACTTAAGGAAACTGGCATCGACTTCAGAAACGTCAGGGAATTCTGAATATATATCAAAAAAATACCGAAACATTAAACATATTTAGAGAACTTCAGGTAGGCATACAAAGGTTCAGAAATGTCCAGATAAAATCAGATAACATTACTGATTTAAGGCAAAGTTCCAAGAGCGTTTATAAAGTTAATAAAACTTAAGGAAAATTGTCGAAACATCAAGGCAATTCAATTAATTTCCGTAAAATTGCGGGCTCTTATCAAAAATACTGAGAAATCCTGGGTAGTCTGCAGAACTTTAAGGAAAATAATAAATCTTTTTGGCAGGTTTAATAACATCTGGAAATTCTATGGACTATTGAAAAAGCTATGAATTATGTGTCGATAATTTAAGGACAGCTCCATGAATTGCAGAAAAATCATGTGAACTTCAGTGAAAATCATCATACCAATATTAAGTATTTCGTTTTGATTTCAGGAAAACTGCAGGAGCTTAATGAAGTTTGGGAAGATTTCAGAGAAATTCGAAGACTTCACGGAAGTGCAGAGATCTTCAGAAACATTTAGAAATAATCATTTAAGTCTATGGAATTTAAGGGAAGATCCAAGAACTTCAGGAACTTTTCAAGAACATCAGCAAAATATGGGAGCTTTTCAAAGAAACTCCAAAAATAGGGGGAATTTCAGGGGTAGTTCAGTTCCATTACTTACTTGATACTTGATGGGCTACGAATCGCCTTGTTGATTCTGCGCCGAACGAAGTAGTCTTCTCCACTGGACTCGGTCCTGAGCCAATCGCTTCCAGTCGCCACGAACGTTTAGCGACCTGATGTCCTCTTCAACTGCAAAAAGCCAACGTGTGCGAGGTCTACCCCGGAGTCGACGGCCTTTTCCGGGTTCTCTGCAGAATATAATCTTTGCTTGTCGTTCTTCCGGCATCCGCACTACATAACCAGCCCAAAACTTATCCGTGAGCCCAATCCTCGCCGTCAATTCCGATGATATCGATGTCGTTCGCAAAGACAAGGAGCATGTGCGATCGTGTGATGATCGTCCTGCTTCAATGCATCTAAGGTCACCAACGTGGTCAAAATCTCATCTGCAACCGGCACACTTGATCTCGATCCATCCAGCGTTGCGCAAATCAGTCCAATCAGTTTCGCAGGAAAGCCATGTTCTAGCATAGTCTGCCAAAGCTCATTTTTCTTCACTGAATCGTGCGCTGGTTTGAAATCAATAAACAGATGGTGAGTCTGCAAGTTGTACTTCCGGGATTTATCAAGGATTTGACGCAGGGTAAACATTTGATCCGTCGTTGATCGGCCCTCACAAAAACCAACCTGGTATTCGCCGAAGAAGGACTTCTCAAGCGGTCCCAATCTGTTGAGCAGAACGCGTGAAAGTATTTTGTACGCCCAATTCAGAAGAGTTATTACTCGATACTTGGCGCACTCTAGTCTGTGCCCTTTTTTGAATAATGGGCAAATGTGACCATCCAACCAGCTAGCAGCCAGTTCTTCGTTCTCCCATATCTTCATTAGAATACGGTGGATTGCTTGATGCAGCTGCTGACTTCCGTTTTTGAGAAGTTCGGCCGGGAGCTCGTCCTTCCCAGCAGCCTCATTGTGCCGTCTGCGATGTTTACTCTGTTTATTGATATTCCTTCACTCTCTCCATTCAACAATGTCTGTTCTCAAAGTGTTCCTTCTGGCAACCACCATTGTTTTATGTGTCAGCAAATTCCCTTCAAGGTCATTGCACATGGCGGAAGATGGCGCTGTTTTACTCCGACAGTCACGTAGAACCTCTACGCATATCGTTCTGCTCCATACTTTCTTGCGCCTCAACAATTATGCGTTCTTCGTATTGCCTTTTCTTTCTGTGGTGGGTTCGCTTGTCAGCTGTCCTTGTTCAGCCGGGTACCATACACTAACATCCGGCTTCTGGCAACGTTCTTCTCATGCGTCAACCTCTGGCACTCCTCATCAAACCATCCATTACGTGGTCGTCTTTGAGCCGTACCTATCACTTCTTGTGCGGTTGTGTTCACCACTCCGTGGATTGTGTTCCACAGATTGTTGAGGTCATCGTTCGCGTTGATTTCGCTAATCCGCTCATCAAGCTTCTGGCGATACTCAGCAGCAACACCTTCTGCTGACAAGCGATGGATATTGAAACGCATCGAATTCGTAACGGACGACATTTTACGGACAACAACATAATGATCTCAGTCAATGTTAGGCCCCTGAAAGTCCATACATCCGATAACATCTGAGAAGTGCCGGCCATCCACCAACATGTGGTCGATCTGAGTGCACGTTTCGCCATTTGGATGTCTCCTGGTGTGTTTTCGGATATTCTTGTGCATTCAGAAAATTTGCGGGAAATTTTAAGAAGTTACCAGGATTTCAGAGAACTTCGGAAATGTTAAGAAAAATATTGAGGTCTTCACATAAGTTCAGAAGTTCACGGAAGCTTAATATTTTTAGGACAGTTCAATTAAATTCAGGGCAGAACAATGAGATCTGCAAACACTTTAGAGAAGTTTTGAGAGCTTCAGGAAAGGACAAAGAACCTCAGAGCAGTTCCGTTAACATTAGATAATTTAGATAAATTTTAAAGGACTTTGGAGATTTCAGCCAATTTCCAAAGCATTGAGGAAGATCCATGATCGATAGGAAGATTAATGAAACTTTAGGAAATCCGAAAAAGTTCAGGGAAGTTAAAAAAAATTGATGAGAAATATTGTGAGCATCAGGCTAGCATATCAAACTGCAAAAGAACTCCAAGGCAGTTTCATTAACTTCAGGAAAATTTTGGGAACTTTCAAGTATAAAGAGAGATAGAGAGAGAGAATGATAAGTAATTTCGTTTCTCCAACTAACTTCATGAAATTATCCTCAGAATGCCCTTGAAAATTTCCTCTCGAGTTCACTGGAATTTCATTAAAATTTGCTTGGAATTCAATTTAAAGTTTTCCTGAAAGTCCACTCAAAACTATCTCAGGCCTTAAATTTTCTCAGAACTTCCTTGAAAGTAGATTGCCCTTGATAAGAGACGAATTCTCCTACCCGATGATTATGTTGGTTGCTTGGACGTGCCTTGAATTCCCAGACATCATCGAGAGAAGTCATTGTTTACAAAAACTGATACGCCCTTATTCCAGCTCTATCTAGAACTAAAGAGTTCTACCGTTTATAACTGCCCAGACTGATCATAGCATTAGATAATCCGATTAGATTTGTTTTCAAAACATTTCAAGTGTAAAAATTAATCATACCACATTGTAAACGAACCACCCTAGTTCGAAAACCATCATCTTTCAAAGTGGCAAGGGGCGTCCGACGGTGAACTTTTTTTTCTTCTCTTCTCGTTGAACTCATATGCATTGCTGCCATCATCAAACCCACCGAAACAATCGTCATCATCATCATCATCATCATTCAGCTGTTTATCGCCGTGCCGCGAGTTAGCGGCCGCATTTCGCCTTCAGAGGTACACCCCCACACCCTTCCCTAATGGGGAATACACAATAATCGTGAGTGTTGTAAACTGTCAAACTGCATCCACATCCCGTCCCCGCACAACACTGAAAGAGCAGTTTACTACGAATTCTGATGATTGCACTTACCATTCATTCGCCTATTGGCGCCCGCTTAGCTTAGTATCCGAGTCGTCGTTTCGGGGCTACTCCGAACCGGAACCGGTCTCTGTGTGGCGCTGACGGCCAATCCGTGGTGTCTCGGGTGAGGATAATGGAAAATTCCGCGCAAAGATGTCGGGGATTCGCTTCGCAGATTCAACACACACTCGCTGCCGAATAAGGGGTCGCTCTTTGTCGATTCTTCACACTTGGTTGCTTGGATTTGGACTTCGGTATGCTGCGCTTCACGGAGCCAACCAACGACACAATCTCGCGCACTCGACACACTGCACTCAGCTTGTATTATGATTATTACAGAAAGAGCTCTTCTTCGAGGGACAGACAAACAGTAGTGCAGCAATCTGCTGCAGCAGCACCACACACCGAACAATTCGCTTCTTTTACTTTTGTTGAACGAAGCACTTTCACGACGGAGAACAACGTCGTCGACTCGGCACAGCACACACGGAACGGACCGGAAATTATCCACGGAGGAACAACGCACGCAACGACCGCTGCCTAGGCTACTACACAGAGAACGCGGACTTAATCCGGAGAAAAAACCACTTCTTACGGACAGAAATCACCGAAAAAAACTACAGAAGAAACGCAAAACTGTGTATGGAAAGGCAGCTTCGAGCAGCGTCCGAACGGAAATCAACCTCTTTTTTCGCATTCGTCGAACAAGTTTTGAGGTTTTACTACACCAGTCACAGTAGAGCGGAGCGAGCGAGCAGACAGCAGAGTAGCAGAGGAGGAGGCGGTAGGCGGGCTGTGTGTATATGGCGGTGAATGTCACGTCGAATAACACGCATACACATGCAGACCCAGGAACGAATTCAACCAGCGAGCGGTAGCACCAATACCCGGGCTAGCGCGAACTACTTGAAACTCGATGCTGTCAGTTTGCTTCGGAGGTTGCCAGATAAACATTAAATTTGTTTGTGCAGTTAATTGAAATCGATTGATCAATTTCATTAAAATGTGTGTTCCATTTGGTGAATTTTCACTTAAATTTGATATTTACAAATAAACCTGCTATTCAAATCGAACCGAACAGAGGGATTTTCGAAAACTATGCATTATTTTCATAACATAGGACATTTTAAAGCACATGCAACTGGCAACAGGCGAGCTGTCATATCGTGCGGATCTTTTACAACCGCACCAACACAAGCGCGCACCTCACTCGAAAGCCGCCATCGAAAGTACGCACTGACATTCGCTTCATCTCTGCTAGCTGCTGCTACATGGAACGCGTTGTGCACGTGTGGGTGAATATATTCAATTCAACCGACCCAACATAAAACGTGATGACGATGATCATCCGACTGTAAATTTGACCGCGTCTACCCCTGCATACATGTGCATGTTCTGTTTTATGCTATTTACCGCTTGCTGCGATGGATGCGGTAAGTTGCTTTTATGCCATAAGCAAAGCATGCCTTTGTTCATCGTCATCGTCATCGCAGAGAGTGCACCGCAGATGCTGTCATCTTTGATCACCGTGCGCAAGGAATGAGAACGACGTCGACCGATGGTGTTTTTGACGTTTGGTCCTGCATGTTTTGCTTTATGTTTTCATGCTTCTTTTTAAGCTTAGCACAGATGGATATGGACGCGGTCAATGTCAACCGCAACGCCGCATCGCGGCCGTGGCAGTGCGATTAATGATTGATTTTTTTTATCGTTTCTTTCCGTTTATGTACTTTTGGCATGCAACACGCTAAGGTGGGTTTGTGAAACATTCGAATGTGTGTAGATAGAATGTGCCTGGCTAAATTGTCTTGTTATGCTGCACCACACGTAACAAGCCCAAACTAAATTGACAAATCAAAGTTGGCACTCGTGGAGAATAGAAGAACTATGAAAATGATGATGGTTTCAAAATTTTCCAACAGATTCCAACAAACAGATATTTTGCAGATATATCAACAAAAGTAAATGCCGAGGTAATCGGCTGTTTAAGATTTTACCGAGCTAGATTAAGTGTGTAGTTTGACAGATAAAATAAGGGGCTCGTGGATTTTCCTATGTTTCGAGGGGTGCATCGATTAGCTTGGGACCGAAGAGAGTACCAGAGCTAAGCCAAAAAATTGAGCACGTTTCTTCGGGACATACTAGTCTTGTAGAGTTACCTCTATGGTAGTATGGCCGTCTGTCACAAGTTTTTCCAATCGAACCGTCAAAATGCACTGCTTTGCTCGATTGGAACCGAGATTGGAGCAACTTTTTTCAATTTTGTGGTAACAGTCGTCCATAGTTTTACCAACAATCAATACAAAACTAACGATTTTAAATTGGCTCACTACTTGACTAGCCTATTGGTCCCAAGCAAACGATTAACGTATCCCATTCTAGTCGAAATTCTAGTACTACGCACTGTTTGTTTTGATTCGCTATGAAAGTTTGACAGATAAAATGAGGGGTTATTGGTTTTTCCTATGTACCGAGGGGCGAATCGATTAGCTTGGGACCGAAGATAGTACCAGAGCTGAGCAAAAAAGTTGAGCTCGTTTCTTCGGGACCTTCTGGTCTTAAAGTTACCTCTATGGTTTTACCATAGTGGTAACTCTAAGACCAGATGGTCCCGAAGAAACGTACTCAACTTTTTGGCTCAGCTCTGGTACTATCTTCGGTCCCAAGCTAATCGATGCACCTCTGGAAACATAGGAAAATCCACGAGCCCCTCATTTTATCTGTCAAATTATCATAGCGAATCAAAACAAACATAGTGTAGTACTAGAATTTCGACTAGAATGGGGTACGTTAATCGATTTGCTTGGGACCAATAGGCTAGTCAAGTAGTGAGTCAATTTAAAATCGTTAGTTTCCACCGGTTGGTTTTACTAAAGAACTTTATGTTAAGAACCACCCACATTAGATCCGGATCTGACGCGTTGCGCCAATATGACAGCTAAATCGATTGTCTAGCTGTCAAATTTATGTCAACGCAACGCTAACGGAACTAATGTGGGTGGCCCTTTAAGCCCAAACAAGGTTAGTTATCCTGTAACGAGTTTGCAGCTTTACACTCCCCCATAGAGTTTTCCAAATACACAAAAGTGTGCGTGAGACCGCGCGCTACCTTTTTAAGTAATTGTGATATCGCGATACCTTTTTGGTTCTTCTTCTTCTTAATTTTTATATATGGATGTGGGATTTTAGTGTTCGTGAGATTGTGCTTGGAGATCTCTATAGGGTCAGATAGGGAGATCTGAAGCCTCTCAAATACGGTCTACGTAGTTTATGAACAGCCCCTAATCTATCGAAATTATAGCCGTGTGGTGATCACAGAGTAGAGATCGATTACTACACCGGCGTGCAACGACCGACGTGTTCACGTAGGATGTAGCTATGGTTTCCGTTTCCCATATAGAAAGTACAGTCAAGATTCCTATAGTACGGATTCGTTCTTGCCGGATTTCTATAGTACGGGTACCACTGGTTTCCTATAATACAGTCGATCCGGCATTAACACTGATTAACGTCTTGATGTAGAAGGGGCTGTTCATTAGCTTCTGTGATTTCTATATGGGGGTACACTTTGTGAAAACCGAAAATGAAACATGTAACAAAATTGTGAAAGATTTTGAACGTTAATAACTCAGCTGCCCCTGAACCAACTTCAATAATTTTATCACCAATCGATTAGAAATATTTCTACGCATCTGCTTAAGTTAAGACTTTATTATTTTTCAAAATTTCACTATTGAAAATTGCACGAATTTGCAACTGTTGCTATGATAGTTAAAATTATCACCGATTGCCTGCGAAAAGCGATTTCCCTAACACAGATTTCAAAGTTGAATTCCATTTGGTCTCATCAAACGGTGTTTATTCAACCACCGCGCACAGTGGTCCAAACGGCGAAAAACGTGATCGTGTGAGATTACGCAAAATCCTTTGACTTTAGGTATATAGTGTCTTCAGAGAAGTTTTAAGGCATAATTGGCGCCATCTTTTGACGGTAGCCATTTTGTGATCAATCCCCCTAAAAGTGGGATCCGAACATTCATTTTTTTTTAAAGTTGAGATAGAAGGTTTGTTTATTCAGTAATGTTGAAGATTATGTCAATACAAACAACTTTGCTGAAGACATAAACCTTCTATCTTTTTGCTCAATTGATCTAAAAAGCGTTTTTTGTGGACGTGCCTCTAAAATCATATTTTTTTACCATAACTTTTTCTATGTAATTTTTACAGGTTTGCAATGTTCTAAGGACTTCTTTGTATTGTTAAAATACATGTTATTGTAGAACATTGTTTCTCGCTATTTCCTATATACTTGGAGATATTTGGGATTTTTCAATAAAATTTGGTCTATTTTTGAACTCAAATATTTCATAAGGTGGCAAATGGTGGCAGATCAAACAACTTACATTTGAAAGTACAACAAAAATGCTGCAAAATAATGCCGGAGTTGTCTACATCGGACTACATCCGGAAAAGTTACAGCTGTTTTAAAAAGGGATCAAAATCAAATGTCTCCTATTAAATATTTGATCTCATTCAAAAGGCGACAATCGAGATACTGTGACTATCTGTCTGGTATGTTTATAAAGATCTTAATTCTTCGTTAGATCATTTTCCAAAGCTTTATGAACATTCTTGTATTGAGTGTTGCGTTAATGACACTCTCTTTTGAATTAAAATAAAAAATAAAACCCGCTTTTTATGTTGCTTTATTCGCTATCAGTATCGTCAGAATCAGACCCAGTACTTGAGTCGTTCATATCTAGTAGGAATCGAGCATCATTAGAAAATAACATATTTGGCTTGCACGTACTAATCCTATTCATTGTAATGAATGAATCAGATAATTCAAGCAATCGATGCAGCAGATCGGTATTCGTTGCCACTCGAGAAATTTTCCTTGAATGGAACGCTCGTGTCTGTCGGATGACTTTATTCATCGATTCATCGAGTCAGAGAATGGAACTATTTCCGGAAGTTTCGATGCTTTCCAGGATTTTAAAATTTTTGTCGCACGAGTTGGGGAAGTTTGTGTGGCTTCTTTGACAATAGAAGCAGCATCATTTTGCCCAGTTGAACGCAATGACATTTGTGCAGCATAGGTCAACTCATCAGCATTATGAGCTGAGCGAAGCACCGCTGTTCTACGTCTTTTCACACAGTCTGAGGTTTCGACAAACGCTTAAATTATTTTGTGTGTAACATTGGACGTTGATGGAATGTTTTTAAGGATATGTTGCGGTAAACAAAATGGTTTGTCAAAATAAGCAACGTTATTTTCCAGAACTCTAGCCATTGTGCGGTTATGCCTCTGCCACAGCTGGCTGAAACATTTGCAAATGTTATCCAAGTAATTTTCAATCTCTGACATAACATCAACAAGTTCTGCATCTATTTCAAGACATCGTGTTATTTCTTTAACCAAAAAACCCAATTTGGTTTTTTTGTCACCTTCCGCATTTTTCCAAAGCAGAAACACCTGACGATAGTCCATTTCTCCTGCAGATACTGATAGAACATTTTAGTATAATATAAGTAAATAATGTGTTACCATATTAATGTTATTGGAAAGCACTAAATTATGCTGAACGCCAGAATAGAAGAAAATATCTGAAGAATCATTATAATACATTTACCGGATAGCCCAACAAGCCGCCCTGGAAAAAAAAAACAAAGTTGCAAATACCGAAGAAAGAAATACGGATCGGAACAATCGGCACAGACCTACGCGACGAAATAAGGACTACGATTGGAAACTCGGATCATGGAACTGCAAATCGCTCGGCTTCCCGGGTTGCGTTAGGTTAATCTATGACGAACTTCAACCACGCAACTTCGAAGTCGTAGCACTGCAGGAACTTTGCTGGACGGGACAAAAGGTATGGAAAAGCGGGCATCGAGCGGCTACTTTCTACCAGAGCTGTGGCACCACC